CTCCGCCCGTGGGTCAGGCTCCCCCTGCAGCGCTCCTGCTCCATCTCTCCGTCTGTGGGGCAGGCTCACTCCGCGGCCCTCCTCCATCTCTCCGTCCGTGGGGCAGGCTCACCCCACGGCCCTCCTGCTCCGTTTCTCCGTGGGGATCTGGGTGCTCATGCACATGTGCCCAGTGTGTGTCTCAGGCCGTGCTCACAGACTGCATGGCCGTCCCCCAGGACCCAGCCACCTTAACCACCAGACCCGACTGGCCCCGCGCACTGCAGGTCTAGGTCAGGGTCGGGCAGCCCTGGCTGCGGCATTTGTGCTAATGTGGTCCGGGAAACGGGCAGCACTTGTAAGGGCGAGGAAGCGCAAGAGCAGTGCGCACGCAGTGTATTTGGCAGTAGGAAGCCTGGTTCCTTTCTACCCATTTGTAAGTAAAAATGCGCTCCTGCTTTAAATATTCTAGTCAGCCGTTCCAGAGAGGGGTGTCCCGAGGCAGCAGCCAGTGGGACCACGTGTCCCTGAGCACAGTGCGCCCCGGGGCCCTCCCACTCAGGACGTGTGCAGACGGACAGTGACCCTGCCGGCATATCAGCCCCAGGCTGCTCGGGGCTAACCGAGTGTGTGGGGGGTTGCGGGGTACCCCACTGCTGCCCTGTCTCTTCAGGCGATGCGTCCAAGGAAGACATCGACACGGCCATGAAGCTGGGGGCTGGGTACCCCATGGGCCCGTTCGAGCTGGTTGATTACGTCGGGCTGGACACCACGAAGTTCATCCTGGACGGTAGGGGCTGGCGGCCTCGAGGCCCCTCTTTCATTGCGCTGAGGTGGCCTCTTTAAAAAGGATGGCTCTCGGCCTTAGGGCTAAGAGCAGGGGTGAAGCGGACAGGTCCTCCCAGGGTCCTCGCAACGAGCCCGTCAGTGCTCCTCCACCATGAGCACCAGTGGGCCATGCGGGGAGGGCGACTGCCCGTGTCTCTGAGCAGGGTCATCTTTAGTTTTTCTTTTAGCTTTTTCTTTGTTTTTTAGTTTTTTTGCTATAGGGTGCATGCGCTCAACAGAGACTGAGAGAGGGAAAGGGAAAAATCGCCCCTGGGGAGATGACCACACTGCAGTCCCCTGTCCTTCATTCCCCTCCTGGGATGTGGGGCGAATATGTGCACACACACACACACACACACACACACACACACACACACCCCCCGCTTG